ATAAGTTGCTCTTGATTTTTACATATTGGTTTTATATTCTATTTCCTTACTGGATTCTTTCATTTCTTGAGTTAGGTTTTTCATCAACTCTCTAAGATTTTCCAAGTATACTATCATGCCATTTACAAATATAGGTATATATTTTCCCTCCTTGACTTTTTCTTTTTCTTTTTCTTTTTTTTTTTTTTTTGTCCCTTGACCTTAGTGGGAATACCTCTGGAGTTGGCTTTAGGATTTAGGTACATATATTTGTTGGCTTTAGGATTAAGGTACATATATTTGTCATGTTAAAGAAAGTACATGCATTACTGTTTTATTTAGAGTTCTTATTACGAATGCATGGATGTTGAATTTTGTCAAAGGCTTTTTCATTATCTATGGGAGTAATGTGATTTTTTTCTTACCCTATGAATATGGCCTATTAATAATATCAGTAGAGTTTTGAGTATTGAACCATCCTTGCATTCCTGATATAAACCCAAGACACATTTTTATCATAATATATTATATTCTTAATGTGTGTTGGGGTCCATTTGATAGTATTTTTCCATCAGTATTCATAATGATATTGGTCTTTAATTTTTTTCATTCTATATTTATCAGATTCAGGTATCATAATTATACTTCTTCATTAAAAAAAATAAATCTCTCTTTGATTTCTATACTCTAAAATAATAGATAGTCCTGGGCCCTATCTGTTCTGTAAAGTTTTAGAAGAATTACCCTTTGAAACTATACAAACCTAATTCTTTGTTAGGTAGTTCCCTGATAACTTTCCTATTATTTCTTCTATGAAATTGGCCTGTTTAAATTTTTATCTTTGCTGGGGTTAGTTTGGGAAGCTATATTTGCCTAAGTGGTTATACATTTCTTCTAGATTTTCAAACTTGTTTGCATAGAGAGATGCAAAGTAGTCTCTTAATGATTTAAAAAATTCTGTCTGTGTCATTAGACCTTTCCCTTATCATTTATTTTATTTGCACTTTTCCCCTTTTCTGTGATTAACTTAATGGTTTGTCCTTTTTTGTTGATTTTCTCAAAGAATCTAGATTTTGATTTATTAATTTGATTTACTGTATTTTAGTTCTATTCACTAACTCATTAGTTTTTGTTTTATTTTTACTTTCTAGTTTCATTGCATTTTGCCAGAGATTGTTTGCCCTATTTCCACTTTATGGAACCTACTGCTACTTTCTATGTGCTCTAGTGTATATGATTAGTTTTTGTAAACATTCCATATGTACTTGAGAAGAAAGTATGGTCTCTGTTATGAGACTGTACTGTTCAGTATATATCCAGAATATCTATTTTGTTAGTTATATGGTTTTATATTCTTATATTCTATAAGTTGTTTTTTGTCAACTTATCCTAGTAAGAAGGGTGTGTTACAGTTTTCTTAGTATATTTCTACCTATTACTTTTTGTATCTCCTATAAATTTCATATTATGTAGGTAGTTGATGTGCTCTTTGTAGCAAAATTTATAACTATTACCTCATCATTGTGGAATGTGGCTTTAATGTCATATGCTGTCCCTTTTGTCTTGTTTATTGCTTTATAGCCTAAAGTGTACTTTATCTGGTATCAGGGTTGCAATTCTGAATTTCTTACTGTTAACATTTGCCTAGTCCATTCCTTTATTTTTAGTCTTTTGAATCACTGTGTTTTAAGTCTGTCTCTTTTATTCAGAATAGAACTGGATTTTGCTATGTGTGTCAATTTGAACCATTTTATTTAAGTGAAAATATTCATGTTTAAGCTTGGTATCTCTCTATTTTGTCATATTTTCTTATGTTATAGTTATGTGCATATTGTACTATATAATTCCTGTGCTATATACTTTTCCAAATTTGGAATGTCCTATATCATTTTATTTATTGTCCTTATTGATTTTGTAATTGCTTTGGGAAGGTGAGATTCAGTCTGCTGCTTTTTCTCCAAATACATAAACATTCCTGTGGCATATGTTTTGTTTTTATTCATTTATTTTTCAAAAGAATATTTTAGTTTTTAATTATTAAGATATAACTGGCACAAAGCATTGTATAAGGTCTGGGTATACAATGCTTTGGTTTGATGCATTTATATATTGCAACATGATTAACAGTGCAGTGTTAGCTAACACTTCTATCGTATCACACAATTATCTCTCTTTTGTGGTGAGAACAGTTAAGATCTATCTCTTTATAACTTTGAAGTTTATAATGTATTATTGACTATAATTTCTATGCTCTGTCTTAGGCCTCTAGACTTATTTATCTACTGGTGATAAGTTTCTACCTTTAAGCATCTTCCCAATTCCACCACCCTCAGCTCCTCATAAGAATGTGGTCTTTTTAGATTCCACATATAGGTGATGTCATACAATATTTGTCTTTCTCTGCCTGGCTTATCTTACTAAGTATAATGACCCTTGTTGTCACATGTCTTGGCTTATTTCCATGTCTTGGCTATTGTGCATAATGCTACAGTAAACATGAGCATGTAGATATCTCTTCAAGATCTTATTTTCAGTTCTTTTGGATAAATACCAAATATAATATGGTAGTTCTATTTTTAATTTTTTGAGGAATCTCCATACTATATCCATAGTGACTGCATCATTTTACATTTCCACCAACAGTGCACAAGGCTTCCAGTTCTTATACATCCTTGTCCACTCTGGTTATTTTCTATTTTTGTTTCTTTTATAATGGCCATTCTACCAGATATGAGGTGGTATCTCATTGTGGTTTTTATTTGCATTTCTGTGATGATTAGTGATTACTAGTGATTCTGTGATCTTTTCATGCACCTGTTGGCCATTTGGATGTCTTCTTTGGAGTAATATCTATCTAGTTCCTCTGTTCATTTTTTAATTGAATTGCATTTTTTGTTGTTAATGAGTTATATGAGTTCTTTATCTATTTTGGATATTAACCCCTTATTGATATATGGTTTGCAAATATTTTGTCTTCTTCCACAGGTTGCCTTGTCATTTTATTGCTTGTTTCTTTTGACATGCAAACTTTTTCATTTCATATAGTCCCACTTGTTCATTTTTGCTTTTGTTCCTTGTGCTTTGGGTATCATATAAAAAAATTGCTGAGATCAGTGTTATTCTTAATATTATCCTAATATTTTCACCAAAGAGTTTTATGCTTGACTTTTTAACCCATTTTGAATTAATTGTTGTGAATGGTGTAAGATTTTTCTGCATGTGGTTATCTAGTTCTCCCAACACCATTTGTTGAAGAGACTATCCTTTCCCCACTGTTACTGGCTCCCTTGCCAAATATTAGTTGACTGTGTATATGAGGGTTTACTTCTGGGCTAAGCATATATTTTAGATAAGACATTTCATCCTTGAGACTCAGAGAGATAGGTACTACTAGAGGATGCCTACCAAATGCTGTAAGGTGTGAAATAGTTGACTCAGAGGTAGATCAGCAGTATCTCCAGAAATCTCTTCCAGGCACTGATTCACCATAGTCTAGTTCCAATGAGCACTTTTTGCTAATGTGCTGTGATCTCCAAATGGATTAAATGTTATAAAACTTGTTCTAACATATGTCATTCAGAATGGGGACTCTTATTTCTCCCTCTATCACCTCATCAATTTTTTAGACAAAAGTAAAACAAGGATAGAAAATAGTTTTACAGAAGATGTCTCATTTGGGCTGGCTTTTATTATAAATTTTAATGTGTCACTTTTTTCTGTTAAAATATGTATCTGCTGATAACAGTACTGGACTATCACACCTGAAAAAGAGAAGGTATTTGTCAACGGGACTATCAATATAACATTCAGATTCTTACATCTTGCAGTGACTTTGTTTTGAATGAGATTGTCTTTAAATTTAACTTATTAGTAGATTTTGATTAGTAATAATAACAGCAGCTAACATTTACTAAGCACCTACTGTATCCCTCACACTATGTTCAAGGGGCATTTTACAGGTAAAGTTGTATTTAAACCTCACAACAACTTATTTATGTTTTCTACTTGACAGCTAGGAATACTACTTAGATGAGTTCATAAACTTGCCCTGTAGTTAAATAGTTAATAAATGAATCAGCCAGAGTTTCATCCCAAGTCATCTGTCTCCATACTCAAGAGCATTTAATTCCATACGTGTTTCCTGCCTAACTAGGGTGATGGGGAACTTAGGCATATTTCCTTCCCAGTATAGAAATGAGGAGTTTATGTTTTGTGGCTCTCCTATTGAAGTACTTGCTTTCTTGTCCTGTGGGGAAGGTTTCCTTAATTTATTAAGATTACTCTTATTACAACCCTCATATGCGGGGAAATACTTTCCTGTTTTTCATTTTCTAGATGGCATACTACCACTCTCAGTGCATACTTCACAGTGGGAAAACCAAGGAAGAGGAGAAGGAGATTAGGAAAAAGCAATTTCTGGGGAATAAGTTGTCTGTGGACTAAATGCCTAATTAAGAGAAAATTTGCTAACTCTGGAACAATATGTTGTATTACATTTTTTATTATTTATATTAGCAAATAACAAATTACTCATTTAGGGGTTAATATTACAGTGAGCAAGACTAGACAAAATTGAGAAAGTCTGAGCAAAAGGTGGTAGAATAATGAAATGTAATTTGAATTAAAAATGTGAAGTTTTAGGGGCGCCTAGGTGGCTCATTCGGTTAGGCCCCCACTCTTAATATCCACTCAGGTCATGATCTCAGGGTTGTAGAATCAAGCCCCATGTCGTAGTGCTCCATACTCAGCACAGAGTCTGTTTGTCCCTCTCCCTCTCCTGCTGCTCCTCTTCCACTCACTTGCTCGTTGTTCTTTCTAAAATAAATAAATACATAAATAAAATCTTTTTTTTTTTAATGTGAAGTTTCAGATTTCCACAAAAATGGTTAGGGCAAGTATAGCCCATTTTGAGAGGTCATAGAAACGATTCTATAAATGACACTAGAATTAGTACTTCTAAATGCATATACACTGTGTTTGTGTATGTCATAATGACACTGTCCTGCTTTGTTTTATTGCAGCCTCTTCCTTCGTCCTACCACTACTGAGTCCTACAAGTCTCTTTGAGCGGTTGTTTAGCATACTTCTTTCCTGGATGTCAGCCTACCTACTGCTAAGCACAGGGTATAAACTGTTTTTAAAATTTAATTTTTAGTGGCACGTTTTAAATGATATTGACATTTCTCTTTGAATATTTTACCTCTGGAAATGAAAAATATACAAATCTTGAGGAATAAATCATAAGTATTGTCTATTTCGTAAGAACTGTGTATGACTTGATCTTAAATCTTGTTTTCTTTTTCTTATTTTCATAGTATTGCCTGTTGTCTTTGTCTTTCTGTTTACTTCCTGAAGCTGCTAAAATGTCATTTCACTACAGTATTAGAAAGTTCTGATTATGTAGGAATTTGAAGTCTCAAACAGTGACTTAAAAGAACTATGGCTTTGTTACATTTCTTTCATGTATTTCAAATCACACCTTGATTTGTTCACTTATTTGAATATATTTTCTTTTTATTTTTACTCTTAAATATATCCTAGTCCAAATATTCCTTTAGATTCAGAAACTTTCAGAATATTTTCCCAAAAGTTAAAGAATCCATTTTTAAAGATTTTATTTACTTATTCATGAGAGACAGAGAGAGAGAGAGAGAGAGAGAGAGAGAGAGACATAAGCAGAAGAAGCAGGCTCCATTCAGGGAGCCCGATGTGGGACTCGATCCCAGGACTCCAGGATCGAAGACCTGGGCTGAAAGCAGACACTAAACCACTGAGCCACCCAGGCGTCCCAGATTTAAATTTTCTTACAAAACAAAAAACAAAACTAGCAGCGTGATTTGGGATAGATCTGCAAGTGTTCTCTAGATTTCAGTGAACAGTGATACAATCTCCCCATCTTCTTTGAAGAAAAGGATTTTTCACTTGCTTGAATTTTATTTCATCCTTACTTAAATGTTTATGAGGGTGAGAAATGTGTACCTTGTAACAACATTGTATAGAACAAATCAAATTACCACCACTCATAGATAGTTCAAAATTTGGCCCAAACACAGTTTCTTAATCCCAACTAGACTAAACCTAGGGTTTCACCATTGTGCTATCAACAAGTTATTCCCAGTTTAGATGATTTTGTAAAGCCATTTGAGTCCTAGACTTGGGTTCGTTCTTTGGGAAACTTAGTTGCCCTAACTCAGAATTAGAACGATGTTTTTAAAAATCTTTTCTTAATGGGCCCTAACATTCTAAGTGGACCTAGGCTGCAGGAGTTCTTGTAGTCCTCAGATAAGATATGATCCAGTGTGGTATGAAACTTTCTCTTAAAAAAGCTCCATACACCTCCTACCTTCCTTTCTCCCTGCCTAACCAGTTCTGAAACATAGATGTGAAGAAGTAATATAAGCAACGTGGAAATTTTCAACAGTTACCTAGTAAGATTTTAAGAGAGGCTTTCTTTGAGACTTAGAACTTTAAACTTTGAAATAAAACTTGAAGTCTATCAGCAGTTTCTTAAGAGTGATAAACAGAATCAAACTTTAAAACTGTTCACTCTCTGAGCGTGTGGGTGGCTCAGTCATTTAAGTGTCCAACTCTTGATCTCAGCCCAGTTTTGATCTCAGGGTTGTGAGTTCAAGCCCTGTGTTGGGCTCCATACTGGGTGTGGAGCCTACTTAAAAACAAAAACAAAACTTCACTTTGCCCTGTTATTGGTGAAATTTCAAAATAAATAATTTAGTTACAATCAGAATCTATCAAACTATATATGAATTAGTTTTTAGTCTAGATAAGAAGGCAAAAAAATAATTTGTATTTTAACTCACCATTTTGGGGTGACCCATGAGTTTCATTAAGAAATCTTCTCTAGAGGTTGCTTTAAGAAGATATGTGTTTGAGAGGGTCCAGAAATATTTGCCAACTTCTACACAGTCCCTTAATAATCACTAAACCCTTTTCTTTTTTGAGCCTTCACATTCTAAAGCAATAAACACATTTAAAAGAATACAGAAGATTTAAGAAATATAAATAGATCTGGTTTACTAGATTAGAGAGGAAGGAAGAAAGAAGAAAGGATGATTGAAGTTGAATTTTGAGTGAAAAAAATATTTCGTGATATATAATGAGCTAATCATGTAACGTACATTGGGGATAAATATGATAGTGTTTTAAATTCTCGATTTCAGGGCAGCCCAAGTGGCTCAGCTGTTTAGCGCCACCTTCAGTCCAGGGCGTGATCATGGAAACCTGGGATCAAGTCCCACGTCGGGCTCCCTGCATGGAGCCTGCTTCTCCCCCTGCCTGTGTCTCTGCCTCTCTCTCTTTCTCTGTGTCTCTCATGAGTAAATGAATAAAATTTAAAAAAAATCCTCAATTTCATAGTCATAAAGATACCAAAGCATATTTCCATAAGTAAATTTATTTTAAGAAAATCTAAAAAGCAAAAACTCATGTGTAAAATCAGAACAGTAGTAATGAGTATGACCTTTTTAATGAATGTATTAAGAAATATCATTCAACATCAGAAATATCATTTATGTCTTCTGTGAAGGTATATTTACCTTTAGAGAAAATGCAAGAGAGATAGCCTAAAATAGCACAGTCTGACAATTTCAATTAGTACAGTTTTCAATGTCAAATCAGTTTTGCAAAACTGATAGTCCACCTTATTATTCTACATCACCATTTGGACAATCTGGGGGTTCTCTATGTAAATTAGTGAACAGTCAGAATTATAGGCTATTTAAAAGAAATGCAGTTTTATTACTTTACAGAAATACAGTAATAGTAATTCTAAATTCTAACAATGTATCCTTGATTTAATGAATAAAGAAGATTCATTTTAATCAACATTTCATTATTTTTATGCAAATAGAAGCTATTGTAATGCTTGAAAATAGTTCTCTTAAGATTGTTAAACATTTCTCACTGAAATTGTATTTATATCATCCCTTTGCTTAACAAACTATAATACAAAGCTAAATGCCTTTTCTGCCCTGTTGAATTTGCAGAGACCAAACTAGTAGATCCTAATTTTGTAAAGTTTTACTATGTACACTCTGAGTCTGTGATGACATTTTATTGGTATTTCAGTGTATTAATTCAGATATGCAGATTTTATACAAGATATTGATAGTCTGAAGAAATAAAGTCCCATAGGAAGATGTCTTTATCAGATATATTCATCTACATTTTACAAATAAAAATTATTATAGTTTATAGTTTCTGAAAGGAAATAAATCAGTAGCACTATTTGTAGAACTATGAAATTCATGTTTTCATATATTAAGGAAGAATACTTTCATATGTAACTGCAAATATTTTTTAAAAATCATGGTCCATTTTTGCTTAGAGTATACTCTTTCTTGATTCAATTAATCAACAATTGTTTTTTCTCTCGTGTCCTGAAAGCTAGACAAACAGGCAGAACAATTAGCTTACCCCACGTGTATAATAGAGTTGTAAGCTGCTATAAAATAAGGACTTTATTTTGCAGTATTAGGCAATTACAGAATGCAACAGTTAAGTTATTGTGACTTAATTAGTTGGGAATTATAAGATTAAAAGAATGTCTAGAGAAAGAATTTGAGTAGAGGAACATGGTGCCATCAAAGACTCCTGTGGAAGTTGAACTAAATTTTAAAGAACATCTAGGATACAGGCGTTCTAAATTAACATTTGTTTTTCAGTTTTTTTTTAAATCATTGTAAAAATAGCAGTGATCACATTTTGGAAACTAGGGATAAAGAGGAAATTTACCTATTAACCCTACCCCTGTAATCTGTAATTGTCTTTTTAACATAGCATAGTCCATGTACTAGTTTATATCTTTTTTTCTACCTAACATTATTTTATTTTAAGATTTATTTATTTATTTTAGAGAGAGAATTAGTGCTCAGGAGTGCAGTGGGGAGACGCAGAGTGAATGGGAGAGAGTCACAAACAGACTCCACACTGCGTGTGGAGCCCAACCTTACAATCCTGAGTTCACAACCTGAGTCAAAAAGAGTCGGATGCTTAACCAACTATGCCAGCCAGGTGCCCCTTACCTAACATTATTTTAGAAATGTTGTCCTAGGTGGCTCATAGGCTTCCTAACCATCATTTTAATGGACATTTAGTATTCTGTGAGGTGATAAACCTTGATTTATTTAGCCACTCTTCTATTTTTGATCATTTTATTTCTATTTTTATTATCATAAATAATATTTTGAGTTATGTTTTTGTGCACAATCTTTCCACATAGTTTAGATTATTTCCTTTGTTCATTTTTCACATGTAGTATAGGGGGGCCATAGAGTATGAATTCTTTTTTCTTTTTTTTTTTTTTTACTTTTGTCTTCAGAACAGTGCCAGTTTATATTACCAGCAACCAATGAGGGGTCCTAGTTCATCACATCCGTCACAGTATTTGGTATTTTCATTTTTAAATAAGAACACCAACTGCTATTTTCATAGGTCAAAAATGGTAGGGCTTTGTATAATTTTCTGTACCTGTTTTACTGAGGTTTTCTCATATATATATTATCTGTCCATATGCTTGGGCATTCTACATCTTATATGCCAAGTGATTTGTGTGGCTTTTTTAAGTCCAGATACTTCCTTCTGCCTGGTCTTCAGTTTTTATTTTTATGATCAGTGATAGAGTTTAAAGCATCTTGCTTCTTTTGCTTCTCATGTTTAGGAAGTAGTGCTAAATAGAATAGAGTTCAATAGTTGAAAAAGTTGGGAGAAATAAAGTTTTTGTTTTGGTTTGGTTAGTTTGATTTTGTTTTAACTTCCCCTTAAGTAACTCCCTCAGCAAATATTTATTGTTGGCTGGGCCTGCAGTGGTGACAAAACTGGCAGAGTCAGAGCTTTTTATAAACTTGTGGGAAATGCGTGTCAGTGAACATGTGATTAAAATTGTGTGAGAATTAGGGTGCCTGGGTGGCTCAGTCAGTTAAGTGTCTGCCTTTGGCTCAGGTTATGATCTCGGAGTCCTGGGATCAAGCCCCATGTCTGGCACCCTGCTCTGCGGAGAGTCTGCTTCTCCCTCTCCTGCTGCCCTTCCCCCTATGCCAACTCGTTCTCTCTCTCTCTCTCTCTCTCTCTCTCTCTCACTTGCTCTCAAATAAATAAAATCTTTAAAAATAAAATAAAATCATGTGAGAACCATAATAGAGTATTTGAGAGATTACAAGGGTGGCACATTTATCCCTAACTAGGCTGGAAGACGTTTAGAAAAGACTTCTGTCACTATCTTATCTCATGAACATTTCTCCTTTGTCAACATATTTAATGTCCACATTGTACTATCCTAGAGCTGTACTATACATCATTCAATCACTCCCTCACTTGTTTCCTGTTTTGTTTTTGGTTTTGGTTTTTTCATTCTGAAACAGTATTACAACAAACATCTTCATTTGAGAATTCTAGTGCCCATATTGGATTGTTTCCTCAGGGTAAATTCCTAGAAGTGACATTATTGGATTATAGTATATAAATATTTTTGAGATTCCTGATGCAGAGTGTTGGATTGCCTTCCAGAAACTGTTTATTCTTATAGAGAGAGTATGAGAGTTAGTTTTCATTGTACTCTTGTTGACATTACTCTTTTTAATAGATAAATGTGGTAAGTGAATATGGTATCTTCCTATTGTTCTGGTTTCCATGTCAGTTATCAGTAAGGTCAAATATATTTTCATGTGTTTATTGGCACCCTCTCTCTTTTTTCTTTCTCAGAGATTTAGGTCTGTATTGCATCCATTTTTTAAAAAAATTTGGGACATTGGTCTTGCTCTATAATTAATGATTTTGACTCAGGCATTATCTTTATACCTTTGTCTGAATGTTTTCTTTCTTTCTTATGTATTTGTTGTTTACCTTATAAATGGTTTAAATATCTCTTTTAAAATTATAATCTCAAGATTCCATAAATTTCAAAAAAAGATGGTGCTGGAGTTCATATTCAAATGTTCCTTTCTCACTTTCTTCTTCTGGAAGGCCTAGAAATTTTAAATTTTGTGATATTGTAACAAGAAGTATTATCAAGGTTGTTTTAATGTTGGGAAAGACATTTGCATTATGATAAATTTGCATTTTTACTTATTTTATGATTTTTTTTTCTTTTCTACCCTCCCACTTCCATCCCAAACCCCCTTTCCCCTTAGGTATGAAGCTCTCTTTCCATTAGTATTGTCGTGCTTAATGTTTGTCTGGATACGGATGGAACAAGAAACTCTGCAGCAATCCGGTGTTTCCTATAGACAGAAGGTAGTTTGTCAAAATCATTGTTGCATTTATTTGAGAATATTAAAATATTCCCTATTCTATAAGGAAGTTGCAGTGTTATTTCATCAAAAACTATGTACCACTTAAGGCAGTCATAATTAAGCTAATTATTAATAATTAAGTTAACTAGTTTATAGAAAATTGTTGATTTACAGCAGAAAAGTGTGATTTTTATTCTTTTTATAGGCATTAAATAGGTTGGGCTTTTTTAGAGATTATTTGAGAATCGCTAATGTACAAAAACATCAATGTAGGTGAAGGAGTGGAGGAGAAAGAATGCTCTCTATCTTATTTTCCTCTGTTTTCATGTCTAATTTTTCTTTCCTTCCATTTATTATAGTCACAAGGATATTTATGTTGTCACAAGTCAATTCATGAATTTGATCATAAGGTAACATTTGTGTTTTCAGTGTTGCTTTTGTCTTTCTAGTAGTCCTGGTCCAGATTGCTTATTCTGCCCCTGTAGTGATTGTGGCCTCAGTCCAAATCTTAGGCTGTTTATTCAACATAGTACATTTTGAATTGGCTAAAAGCCAGGTAAATTTTAAGGACGCTGTAAAGTTAAATTGATGTCTCTTGCCTTTATTTTAGAACTGAAGGTAATTATAAGCAATTGGTGATAGAATATTTACAGTTTTACTGAAGTCAGATAAAATGAATATTGCAGAAAAACACCTTCATGGTCGATCCCTTGATCCATCCATAACTGGTTCCAGTTGAGCTTACAGAGTAATTGGTAATTTAGAAAAATTAATTTCAATAATGAAGAAACTTTATTTAAGTATTTAAATAATTACTGGTTTTTAACATTCAGCCCTGGAATATTAAAACTACATGAAAACAGTTTTGATCAGATTCAAGTAAATGGTCAGATTGTCCATAATAGTAAATACTAAAATTTTAATATTGAATAAATATTAAATCTAAAAATGAGATTCATTGTGTCATTTTTTTTTAAAAGATTTTATTTATTTATTCATGAGAGACACAGAGAGAGAGGCAGAGACACAGGCAGAGGGAGATGCAGGCTCCCTGCGGAGAGCCCAATATGGGACTTGATCCCAGATCCCGGGATCATGCCCTGAGCCGAAGGCAGACACTCAACCGCTGAGCCACCCAAGCATCCCCATTGTGTCATTTTTTAAATTGTGTTTTTTAAAGTAAAACAGATATTTCTTTCTATAAAAAGGAGTATTAAAGCATCCAAAGAATTACTGGAAAATTACATGGATAGTAGAGGAAGAGGAAGGTCTCCCTTTAAACTGAGTTTTTCTGTTTTGGGGTGAGGAGGTTAAGCAAAAGTACATCCTTCTTGTTGGAATTGAGTGACTTTCTATTTTACCAAAAATAGGAATATTTTGCATTTGTGTAGTGAGAAAATAATTTCTAACAGAAGAATAAAGAAACAAAAATATTTGATTTTATCATGCCTTGTTAATATAATACCATAGCTGGGTTTTAGAAGATCAGGACTCTGAGAAATCAGGACTTCAAAAAGGTAGGAGTTATACAGGGATTTAAAAGTGAAGCATTTATATAGGATTAAGAAAAGCCTGGTTCTCCTTTTTATTATACTTTCAGCAATACTACAACTCTGTTCAATATTATTAGCAACATATTCTACCTTTCAGCAGATTTTAATAAAATATAATTAAGCTATAAGAATAGCTTTATTAATTTCTTTTGTCAGTACAGGATAACTTTCTAGCTATTGTACCAGACTAGAAGATTGCCTTTGAGGGTAAAAGTAAGTGAACTCTTCTTGTGTGTTCATGTATTTCTTATTGTCTCACAGGTCACCAGTCTCCAGTTCACCTGTAATCTTGATATAACCCAGTTTCGACATCTCTATCTGGATGACATCCGGAGGGCTTTTTTCCTTGTATCCTTTGTTTGGACTTTTAAGGCACTGCAACTGCCCACTTAGTGGAAGAAGAAGATAACTTCGCCTGCTCACTTAATAATGACCACTTGGAGGCCATTTAACCCCCCTCTCTCAACCATAATTTTCTCATACAGTCCATGTTTTTAAAAAACGTCAAAACTGTAGAAAAGCACACAGAATGATATAACAAGTGAATGTATATGTGTGTATTCCCACCATCCAGGAGATCAACAATTAATATTTGGTCACGTGTCACACATTGAAAAAAAATTAAAACATTACAGCTAAAGTTTTTTTCAATTTCCAACTCCACTCTAATCTCCCTCATCCAGAAGAAACCACTTATACGAGTTTGGTTTGTACTTTTTATGTGTATTTTATACTCTACTCATGTTCTATAACATCTACCTGACAAGGTTTTTGGACCACAATTTTGGCAATATTGTGTGGAAGTTCTTACTGTCAGAAGTTTGAAAGACAATATGGCAAAATAAAGTCTCACTTTGGGAAGGCTGGCTGACCAGCTTCAAGAAATTCTCAGGGATCCCTGGGTGGCGCAGCGGTTTGGCGCCTGCCTTTGGCCCAGGGCGCAATCCTGGAGACCCGGGATCTAATCCCACATCGGGCTCCCGGTACATGGAGCCTGCTTCTCCCTCTGCCTGTGTCTCTGCCTCTCTCTCTCTCTCTCTCTCTATCATAAATAAATAAAAATTAAAAAAAAATTCTCAGGGAGGTATTTCCTCTGAAATTAGCATGGTACTCTCCTTCCCTCCTCTTGCTTCTGCCCTTAGATTTGCTCTCTGTCTCTTTGCAGAGTCCTTACACTCACCCTCTGCTAATCAACACTTCTTCCCTTGAACCCTGCATCCCTAAAGTATAATTTCATCTCGTCTTTTTTGTTTACTACCAAGCTCCTTGAAAGAAAAATCTGTAGTTGCTGCTACCATTTTCTCCCCATCTAGATACTGTATCCTTCAGCCTTGAGAAGTACCTGGCCCATGCTAGTGTGGCACACAGTAGTGCTCTAAATATCTGTCAGATGTCCCTGCTGCAGCTATACCCTGACTGCACAGTCTGGACTTCAGTTTTATTTGACCACAATAACATTCAACTCTGTTAACTTCACTTTCTTTTTCCTTTACCTCCAGGACATGTTCCAGGTTCTCTTAGCTTTTGTATTATCTCTATTCTCCTTCACTAAAATGTACTGTATCCTTGTCTGATCTTGAATGATGTTCTTCTCCAAGCTCTACCTTTTCCTTAACCTTCTCTTATGCTGCCTAGATATTATCACCCTCTCCTATAGCTTTGACTGACACCTCTGTGCCAGCAACTCTGAGATTTACTTCTCCAGCCTTGGCCTCTCTTGACCTCACAAGCCATATGTCCAATATTCTGCTGGACATCACCAAATATATGTCCCAAACTGACTAACAACCGCCCACCCCTCCCCAAAGTCTCTCTCTGGAGGCCATATTCCTAGTCATCCAGACCATCACACTTGTCATATTTAACTACTTGTCCAGTTCTAAAGTCCCACTGTCTCCCCTCTTCCATTTCTGCTCCCACTGCACCAGTGTAGATCTTCCTTGCCCCTGACATCAACTACCGAAATAGCTTCCCAGTTTTATTTCCTGCCTGTAATTATTTATCTCCCTGATTTGAATATCTCACTGTCTCTGGTATTTGTTTGTATCACTCACCTAAGATGTTTGCTGGCTTTTCATGGTCTCCACAGTAAAATTCAAGGCTTTTTATTAATATGCCACCAATCTGTATTCCTGCTTTATCTTTCACTGTATCCTTCAATAAACCCTAAGCTTCTACCACAGCTCTTAATGTTTCCTGATTATGTCTTTTATTTCCCCTGTTTACCTTAAAAGCCTCTCGTAAACTTCTATAGATCACCATAATCTTAGTTAACTTATGAGCACTTTGAGACTCTTTTATTCATATTTATATTCTTGGTGCCTGACTCTGCCTCTGACATACACTAGACACAATAAATGTTGGTTGGTTAGTTCATTGCTTGAATGAATAGATCCATGAGTACATTTGAGGTTCAAGTCACCAACTCATATGCCACTTTTTCACTGAAAGTTGTCATAATTCTTTACCACTTTTGTGTAATAATAAAATAGCTGACATTCATTAAGTCCTTTCAATGGTCCAGACAGTATTTTCCTAGCAGTTAGTTCTTAGACACCAATAGGATTAATATTGGCCTTTTATTACTGCACTAAAACAAATCAATGTGAGCTTACAAAGTGTCAAAAAGATGTCTAATGTTTTCTCCTGTCTCATTCTCTGTTGGATTATTGGAGAATATGGTATCTTATTTCCTTCTGAGTCTTCCAAAGATCCTGACACGTTTCACATGTAGTAGGCACAGAGGAAGTGTATATAAAATGAAACAGTATTTCTCCTGAAAATATCTGTCTGATCCACTAGGTTCCTGTTCTCTTATTAAAAAACCATCAATGGCCAACTACAGATAACAATACTCTGACTCGTTTCTGCTAGAGAAAAGAAAAATGACAAGTGAGGATAAGCTCCCATGCCTCCCATTCTTAGCACATTTTGCCTCTTCAGTCAGGTTCTTCAAAATGCATTTGCAAGGAGATATAATGGAACATTCACTTATAACAATTTATGGCCAAATGTACAGGTTAAAAATCAATGTATGCTCGTGGTAGGATAGGCATATCTTTTCTTTCTTTCTTTTTTTTTTTTAAAAGATTTATTTATTTATTTATGATAGACAGAGAGAGAGAGAGAGGCAAAGACACAGGAGGAGGGAGAAGCAGGCTCCATGCCGGGAGCCCGACGCGGGACTCGATCCCGAGACTCCAGGATCATGACCCGGGCCAAAGGCAGGCACTAAACCGCTGAGCCACCCAGGGATCTCTAGGCATATCTTTTCTAAATGAAGGAGAAATTTGTATGAATTCTGACTTGTTTTGGCATTTCCTTAACTCTGTTTAGGTTTTCTTCTTAGTGACAGCATTTTTTGGAACTGGGAACATAGCTTCTGTTAACAGGTAATTTAAAAAGAAAACAGCATATTTATAATAAAAGATAATACAAGTTAGGATTTTGTTTTGTACTGTGCTTTTTATAGCAAAGGATATATTTTGGAGAGTGGTATGTATCAGCACATATAGATCTACCCCAATCATTTTAGTGGCTTTCTAATATTCTTGGTACGATATTTGCTTGTGTTTTAGTAAGAGTAGTTTTCAGAAAGTTAGTTTAGACATCCTTTTTAATAGAACATTATTTTAAAGTTACAATGTGAATTCTAAAATCTTTTTTCTTTATGTTGGTTCCTTAGCTTTGATCTTGCCTCTGTCTATTGCTTTCTGACTGTGTTTAGTCCTTATATGATGGGAGCCCTGATGATGTGGAAGGTTAGTTTTCTTATTTTCTTATTTACTTAAGATACTGTTTAAGATTATCAATTCATTGTGACATTAAGATTATGTACCATTACATGACTTTAAGACTATAAAATCATTCTGATAGAGTGAAATAGCATGGAAAGAAGATACCTTCACAGACAATGCTGAATGGGAGGTGGGACCCTTTAGCTTTACTCCAAAATATAGTTAACCATTTTGCTTTATCCTTAAGCCCATTTAAATTCTATGGAGTACAGATTCTGAATAAGTCCTGGGAAGTCCTATCACAGATGACTCAAGCCTGTAGGGAAGGGCAGTATAGATCAGAACTGCAGTGCCCCCAAAGATTCTATATGCTCCCCACAAGACTGCCCATATGTTACAATCTTTTCTCATAATCCGTGTACCTAGAATTGATTGATTCACTCCACAAATTCATCATTGAATGCTTACATTCAATAATGCAGCAGGCACCAGCCAGGTGCTGACAAAACCAAGATAATGGCAAATTCCTCAGCTTTGGAGGTTCACACTCCTGTGGAATATAATTCATGTTCTTTCCTTCTTCTTTAGCATCATTATGCCTGTCTTAACACAGTGCCTGGCACATTTAATGTAGTTAGTATGTATTTGCCTAAAATCTAATTAGTACCTTCTATTCAGATCATATACATACTAATTATCAAAAGTATGTGTTTTTTTTTAAGTATGTGTTTCTTAATTGGACCAATATCCTTTTTTTTTGTTACTGCATTAATACAAATGTAATCTTAAGAAATGCTAAAAAGATGTTTCCTCATGTTCCAGTTTCTGTTGAGTTATTTTGTAAATTTTTATTTATTTTTATTTTTTTACCCACTGAGTTATTTTAAAATATGCACTATTTCTTTAATTTTCAATTATTTTTTTAATGGTAGTAGTTCTTTTCTTACTCTTTTGGAAACCATTGGCCTTTCATTAAAAATAAGAAAATAGTAAAAAACAAAAGTTTAAATTAGAATACTAGATCTTTACTCTCCAGCCTCATTCAGAGCTTTACTGACATAATGCACTGGATGCTTTTTTTTGACTGATGTGGCCAAAGTGAAGGTTCTCCCAAACTCTATTTTAGCCTTATGTCCTTCACTTGAAGGAATCTTACAGTCTTGAACATCATTCCTTTTGCATATCTTTTTTCTTTCTTATTAGACATCAAGTATATATATATATTTTTTTCAATTGTTTATTAGAAAGCAGTATCTCAAAATATCAAGTGTTGATCCAGATATCCATCTGGATTATGGATTTTCAACCAGTATAAACTATAATATACCTTTCTCAATTTCTTAATAAATTTTTTACAGTGGGTGTGAATTTTGTATACTCAGAAATAAAGTTATATTAAGATAATTGAACAAAAAACAATGGCAGAGCAGCTGAATCATGTTTGTAGAGTTACAGTATCAAGTGACCAGATGGGTTCAGGGATCTGTGAATCAAATTACTAGATTCTGTAATTTATTTGATTTGGGCATTCTGTGTCTCTCATATTCTCTTAGAATCATTTGAACATGGTCATTAATTATAATAAGTTAGAACAGAAATTTGTATGAGGTTTTATTTAGAATGAGAGTTGATATTTATCTTTTTTATTACATATGCTATTGATGTAGATTTTAAATCCATTTCATCAATATTCTATATGTCATTGATGTCATGGTTTTATTTCAGAGCTTGCTCTTCACTAATATAGGTAAAATTTGAGAAATTGAAGTATTGCTATAAGCAAAAATAGCATTCATTTTTAAGTTTTTCAAAAGTTTCAGCTACCCATGGCATGGTTTGTTGTTTTGTTATCCTTTTGAACAGATTTTAATCCCCTTTGTTCTTGTGATGTGTGCTTTTGAAGCGGTTCAGTTAACTACCCAGTTATCATCAAAAAGGTAAGGTGAATGTTTAAGACTCATTGGACTTGCCCAGGTTCAGGTAGTGAGACTAGATATATGATTGCTACAATGCTGCAACAGAGAATGTTTATTATAAAAATGAGAGAAAAAAAAGATTGTACCCTTATAGCCAGAGTTCAGCTGTCATTAGAGAAAATTAGTTGATTAGAGCCTCTAGCAGACACATGCTTTCTCAACAATAAAATGTTATTAGAATATTACTCAAGCTGGTGAAGAGCTTCCCTAGAAAACAGTAAAACATAAATTTTAAATTAGAGTTAATGACTTGTTTATTATAGATAATAGCTGTGCTTACAAACACAAGGGATATCATTCTGTTTTCTTTTGGATTTTTTTCTTAAATATGTATGAGACCAATGTGTTAACATCATTTCATTTTACATGGCTTTAACTGTATTACATGTTAATAATTTACATAGCTTCTCAGTCTTATTTTCTACATATTTGCTAAGTGAGATGGGCATTATTCTAAGTTTTGAGGAATTTCTGGAGCAGTCAAGACTCTGGGGACACCAGGGTGGCTCAGTGTTTTAGCATCTGCCTTTGGCTCAGGGCGTGATCCCGGAGTCTTGGGATTGAGTTCCACATCAGGGTTCCTGCATGGAGCCTGCTTCTCCCTCTGCCTCTGCCTCTTCCTCTCTCTCTGTGTCTCACATGAATAAATAAATTAAAAATCTAAAAATAAATAAATAAATAAAGACTCTGGAAAAGAAGCCATGAACTCAACTTTGCTTTTTTTAACTAAAGAAATTGCCTCATCAGCACAGGACTGATCAGCCTCTCTGAAAGACACTTGAGATAAATACAAAGCTTCTTAGCACCTCTGTTATTCTTGAATCAAACTGGCATATTCAAAGCTGAAAGAAATAACTAATATTAGCATAAATTTGCATGTTCTTTTTGATGAGTTTAAGCTAGAACTGGGTTTAGCATATTATTATGCATATGCCATAATAACAGTAATAATTTTAAAAGATTTTCTTCCACTGTTTAAAAATAGTAGAAATTTCTTTCTAGTTTAATTTAGTATTTTTACAGGATATTTACATAAATTTAACAGTAAAAACATTTATACCTTGTCAATATCACAGAAGAAATAGTTACTTAGATACAATAAAAAATGGTAAATGACATGTACTTTCTATCTGTGTTAGTGGATACATATTTTTAGCAGGGATTTCAAGGTTTAAGAAGAACTGGTAATCTGTGGATTGAGAAGTGGAGGAGTGTGTGTGTGTGTGTGTGTGTGTGTGTGTGTGGTAACTGTGTCCTAAGACTGGCTCAATGAAAAACTAACTGTCAAGGTAGAGATGCACGTGTCCCTTCAAAGCAGTATTTCTGTATCCTCTGGTTAAATATCCAGTAGTACAATTGTTGGATCATAGGGTAGTTCTATTTTTAACTTTTTGAGGAACCTCTATATCATTTTCCAGAATGGCTGCACCAGTTTGCATTCCTACTAAGAATGTAAGTGTTACAGGGTTCCCTTCTCCACATCCTCTCCAACATCCATTGTTTCTTGTATTAATGTTAGCCATTCTGACAGGTGTGAGGTAATATCTCTTTATAGTTTTGATTTATATTTCCCTATTGATGGGTGTGTTGAGCATCTTTTCATGTGTCTGTTAGCCATCTGTATGTCTTCTTTGGAAAAATGTCTATTTGTGTCTTCTGTCCATTTCTTAACTGGATTATTTGTTTTTTGGGTGTTGAGTTTAATAAGGTCTTTATGGATTTTGGATACTAACACTTTATCAGATATGTCGTTTGCAAATATCGTCTCCCATTGCGAAGGTTGCCTTTAAGTTTTGTTGATTGTTTCCTTTGCTGTGCAGAAACATTTTATCCTTTTTTTTTTTCCAGACAGGAAGAGAGTGAAAAGCAGAGAGGGAGTGAAAGGCAAAAGAAGAGGAAAAGGGAAAGAGACAGGCTTAAACAGGCTCCACACTAGTTGTGGAGTTCAGTCTCACAGCCCTGAGATCATGACCTGAGCCAAAATCAAGAGTCAGGCATTCAATCAACTGAGCCACTCAGGCACCCCAAGAAGCCTTTTTTCTGAAGACCCAGTAGTTCATTTTTGCTTTTGTTTCCCTTGCCTCCAGAGATGAGTCTAAGAAGTTGCTATGGCCAATGTCAAATCCTGTGTTCTCCTCTAGGATTTTCATGGTTTCCTGTCTAACATTTAGGTCTTTCATCCATTTTGAATTTCCTTTTGTGTATAGTGTAAAAAAGGGATCCAGTTTCATTCTTCTGCTTGTTGCTTCCAGTTTTCCCAACACCATTTTGTTGAAGAGACTGTCTTTTTTCCATTGGATATCCTTTCCTGCTTTGTCAAATATTAGTTGCCCACATATTTATGGGTCCATTTCTGAATTTTTTGTTCTGTTCCATTAATCTATGTGTCTGTTTTTCTACCAGTACCATACTGTCTTGATGACTACAGCTTTGCAATATAGCTTGAAGTCTGGAATTGTGATGCCTCAGGCTTTGCTTTGCTTTCTCAAGGCTTTGGCTATTTGAGGTCTTTAGCCGTTCCATACAAATTTTAGGATTGTTTGTTCTAGCTCTGTGAAAAATGCTGGTGGTATTTTGATAGGGCTTACATTAAATGTGTAGATTATTTTTTTCATCTTGTCTCAGAAGAACTAGTGCCATAGGGTAGAATTTTTGTTTCACTGATTCTGATTCAAAGAAGGAAAGCATTTTGTAATAATTGGGGCTGTGTAAATTGGAATGGATTCAGTAATTGGAACCATTAAAGTTTATTCTAAACAGAGCTTTCTTTGGGATTGTTACTTTGAGAATCGGTGCTTTGGATAGAAGGTTGTACTGAATTATCATTGTGTCCTCCACAAACTCTTAGTGTAACGCACTTGTTGTATGTCTGTTATATCAGACTTGTTTTGAATGATACATAACACTTCAGTTAGATATGATGTCTGACTTGTGCTATATATGTCTGTGTTTGTGAATTATTGAGTTCCATTACTGTATTTTCAGACCTTTTCTAACTAGAAAAAGTTATGTCTTTTTTTTTTAAGATTTTATTTATTTATTCATGAGAGACATGAGAGAGAGAGGCAGAGACACAGGCAGAGGGAGAAGCAGGCTCCATGCAGGGAGCCTGATGCGGGACTCGATCCCGGGACTCCAGGACCACGCCCTGGGCTGAAGGCAGACGCTAAACCACTGAGCCCCTCAGTGATACCCGAAAAACAGTTATGTCTTAAAAAGAAATCAAGGATGATTTTAGACTAAGCGTAGTGGCTTAGTCATTTCAACTGGCTCAGTTGAAATGGAACTGTGTAATGCAATTCAGTAATTGATCACATGAGTTTTCCCTGGAGGAAAGACTTTTTTAGAACATTCAACTTGTGAAATGAGGGAAATCTACAGTTTTCTTGCACCTTTGTATTCTATATAGAAATTTTAAAATCTGAGAATACTTTAGGATTTGCATTTTTCCCTTTTATTACCTAATTGCTATGATACCTTAATGGGAGAGGGAAATTTTTCCATTTCTTCTGCAAATCAGAAAGCTAGGATTCTGTATTACACATGAGCATTATGTTCTTCATTGCCTTGTTATGAAAATCAAGTAGGTATGCTGTGTTTTTTAAAATCTTGATGAAAATCTTTCACCTTACATAAAAGTTAACTCAAAATAGACCACAGATTCAAACTTTTAGGAAAAGTGTAAGAGAAAAATCTTTGAGATTTGGGCTAGGAAAAGAATTAGGCTTCACACGGAAACCATAATCCATATAAGGAAAAATTAATAAATTGGACTTCATCAAAATTAAGAGATTTTGCTCTATAAAAAAGAAGACCCTTTTAAGAGAATGAAAAGACAAGCTACATACTGACAGAGAATATTTACAAACTATGTATGTGACCAAGGGCTATTATCCAGAATATATAAAGAACTCTTAAAACTCAACAGTACACACCAAACAATTTAATGAGAAAATGAGCAAAAGATCTGAGAGCATGTATAGATGGGGTGAAGCTGTTCAACATCCTTAATGATTAAGGAAATGCATATTAAAACCACAGTGAAGTATCATTAATTGTTCTCATGTATTACAGATGGGTACGTGCATGGTATAACCACTCTGAAAAGAGTTTTTGTTTCTTATTAAAGGTAACATGCAACAGCCATAAGATCTAACAATTACATTCCATGGTAGTTTTCCTAAAGAAATGAGAACTTAGGGATGCCTGGGTGGCTCAGCAGTTAAGTGTCTGCCTTCAGCCCAGGGCATGATCCTGGAGACCCAGGATCAAGTCCCACATTAGGTATCCTACATGGAGCCTGCTTCTCCCTCTGCCTATGTCTCTGCCTCTTTCTCTGTGTCTCTCATTAATAAATAAATAAAATCTTAAAAAAAAAAAGAAATGAGAACTTAGGTTTGCATAAACTATACTCAGGTATTTATAGCATCTTTATTTATAATGTCTTTTGGTGTTTGAATGGTTAAGCAGACTGTGGTACATCCATAAATGGAGTACCACTCAGCAATAAAAAAGATCAAACTATTAACACAATACCTTAGATGAATCTCAAGGGAATTATGCTGAGTGAAAAAAACACAATCCCAACAGTTTACAAAGAGTGATATGAGTGATTCCACTTATGCAGCACTCTTGAAATGACAAAATTATAGAAATGGAGAACAGATTACTGGTTTTCAGGGGTTAGGGATTTGGCAGGAGTTCAGCGGAGGGAGGATAGATGTGGCTATAAAACAGTATCATGAGGGATCCTTGTAGTAATGGAAACCTTCTTTATCTTGACAGTAACAGTGTCAATAACCTGGTTGTGATATTGTCCTAGAGTTTTATAAGATATTACCTTAAGGGAGACTAGGCCAGGGGTACATGAGATCCCTCTATATTATATAATTACATGTGATTATCTCAAATAAAAAGTTTAATTAAAAATCATAATTCTGGGAGCCTGGGTGGCTCAGTTGATTAAGTATCTGACTCTTGGTTTCAACTCAGGTCATGATCTCAGAGTCATGAAATCAAGCCCCACATGAGCTCTGCGCTGAGCATGGAGCCTGCTTGGGATTCTCTCCATTTCCCTCTGCCCTTCCTTCTCTCCCTCGCTCCCTCCAAAATAAATAAATAAATAAATAAATAAATAAATAAATAAATATCATAATTCATGTCCTTTTCCTATCAAAATAAATATTCAAAATGTTAAATAGCATTTTTGAATTCCAGCCCATCACTCTGGGACAGTTAGTTGCTCATTATAATGCAAAAAGAGCTCTTGTCTAAAGTAGTATTTCTCAGAAGCAAAAATACTAATAGAGGATTATTTGATTATTCTCATTTTTATTTTAATGTGCCTTAAAAATGCGCCTGTTCTATTATGTGTAATCTTCCTTTATTTTTTTCCAGCCTTTTTCTCATGGTTCTCATCATATCAGACATTATGGCTTTGGTAAGACATTATTGGATATTTAGTATAAAGATTGAGAAGCTAAGTGCTGATTTAATTTAATCAAGAGAAATCTGAATGCATTTCTGCATGTGAAATCTTTAGGTATTAAGTTATAAGTGATGCCATAATTTACACATATAAAATTACTTTCTTTTTATATGACTTATGCAGAAATGGTGTTCTTTTGAAGATGTCAAAAGTCTCTTTACTTGATTTATTTGAACCTGTCATTTTATACCTTACTCTTCTACGGCGCATTGTTCTGAAATGAGCCTTCCATAGAAAGTTAACAGAAAAAGCTAACTTTTGATTTAGATAATACATCATTTTCCTACTTGAAATGTTGATTTTTCTAACCATTCTCTGAGATTGAGAAAAGGAAGGGAAGGAAGGAAAGAGGGGAAGTGGAGCTTTTCAGGTGGAAAGATGTTACTAAGTTAATGGCTCTACTAGTTGAGCTCTGAGTAAGGAGCAGGCAGGTGGACTTCTTGTATGTAGTATGTCAAGAAAAAGAACCTATTTTACACCTTCAAGTTCATGGGGTTCTCAAAACTGCCCTCAGCTTTGATAATTCACTAGAAGGACAAAACTCACTGTAAACCATCATATTCACAGTTACGGTTTATTACAGGAAAGGATACAGATTAAAGTTAGCCAAGGGAGGAGCCTCAGAAGGCAGAGTCTAGGAAGGGTCCGGATGTGGAGCTCTGGTCCTCCTCTCCTGTGGAGTCAGAATTACTAAGTCAGCATTACTCTTCCAGCATTAATGTGTGGTGTTCATAGGGAGTATGCCAATGAGGCTCACCAGAGCCCAGTGTCAACTTTTTAATAAGGATCAATCACATTTTGTTCCCATGGCTGACCTTTAATGTTCAGTCCTTCTAAGGTGGAACTGATACCGCATGGCCCAAAGCCCACAGTATAAATCACATTATTAGACTGCCCAGTGGCTAAGGCCCCAAGGCAAAAATACTCCCATCGGGCATGACATTTCTTGGTCCTAGGAGTCACTCCAAGTAACTGAAGGCAAAGGCAAGACTTCTTTTTGGGTAGAGCTAATTCTTCATGTATAACATCGTGTGCTAGAACCGATTAGAGACCCCAAGTAGTGTAACTTCCCAGTCAGATTCCTAGTCACTTGATTTAGATGAGAGCATTTTTGTGTTCTGTTGAACTAGATATCCAATATATTTCTGAAATTGACCACACATAGTAGGCTATCAGTAGATATTTGTTGATAAATGGATGATATGGCTTTTTTTTCACTGAGGTCTTGGTATTATTTAGTATCTTTTATTAAAATTGGTTGTCTTTGGGGCACCTGGTTAGCTTAGTCAGTAGAGCCTGTGACTTTTGATATTGGGGTTTTGAGTTCAAGCCCCATGTTGCATTACAGCATACTTTAAAAAAAATTAAGTTGGTTATCTTTATTTTTAGTTATTCATAAATGTCACTTTTGTATTCATTTGATTGAACGGTAATGCTACATGTGGCTTTTAGGATATTGCTCATGTAGTCCAAGCAAAAATTTTTGTAAAGGGCATATTCTTACAGATTCTAGTCAGATAGTAATTATGAGAGGTCAGAAATCTGAAACTCTTAATCCTAAAATAACATTGTTTTTCATCTGAATCAAAATACCTTTGTTTTTTAATGGAGCCATGTATTTATTTTACAGCATTTTTTCTTCTTGGTCAAGGATTATGGCAGCTGGCTTGAGATTGGAACAAGGTACAGTATATATTCACATTGAAATTCTTAAAAGTACGGTGAAAAAAAATTTTGGTATCTTAGTAGAAGATGCCAATTTGATTTTTGAGGTAAACAGAGCATGTACCAATTATTTTGAGCCTCTGGAAGTGAGACATGTCTCTCCAATTCTTAGCATTAACACATTACCAAATGTTTTCTTGAGATAGTGTGTGGACAGATGCTAACTCTGGAAAGGACTATAGGACAGTTTGCTTGAATCTGATCTGGGTTTTTAGAGTCGGTCACTTTTAGACTTATCTGTTTTTTTAAGATGTTATTTATTTATTCATGAGAGACAGAAAGAGAGAGAGAGAGAGAGGCAGAAACACAGGCAGAGGGAGAAGCAGGCTCCACATGGGGAGACTAACATGGGACTCCATCCTGGGTCTCCAGGATCACACCCTGGGCTGAATGCGGTGCTAAACCACTGGGCCACTGAGGCTGCCCTAGAGTTATCTGTTCTTACAATCTTTCAGTCTCTTTAGAAAAATGAAGCACTCAGTGACAGTATGGATTTTATATGGCAACTTAAATTGCATATAATCATTATCTGCCTCTTAGAATCTTTAATATGAGAACATTTAACACATGAGACCTACAACGGTGTTAAAGTATAATCTGGACCAAAAGTCGTTTTTTTCTTTATGATTTGAATATGAATGATTGCCATAATCTGTTAAATTTCTTTTTTTAGAGAAAGAAAGCAAAGTTGATCTTTTTGCTTTTTTTGTTTTCAAATGCATTCAGAGAAAGAATACATTTTTATAGACTGGTTTTATTTCATTTAGTCAATATTTATTTCACTTATGGTCCTGGGAATTGTGTAGACTTGGATGAGACTCTTTTAGAGTCTATTCTGTCCTCTGTTCCTACCTCTTAGGCAGCTCACTCCTGGTCCTACTTTCTTATATATATATATACAGCTTTGCCTCCCTGCCTCATCTAATTTGAATCTTCTTCATTCCATATGTGCCAGGCATATAAAAGGTGTCCCTAGATCATTTTGTTATCATTACTCTTAAGCTTGAATGCTTAAGGGAAGTTTTGATGTCTCTCTTTCTCCAGCCCTCTGATGCCGAAGTGTCCAGACAAAATAGTGGGTTAGAACATGAGCTTTAGACCAGAGCAACCTGGGCTTAAACAGTTGCTGCTACCTTTCAGCTGCAAGACCATCAGCTAATAACTTAATCTCTCTAATCTCTCCCTTGTCTCATGTAGTCGTCTGAATGGATGAGTCCACATAGGGCATTTAGCACTGTGCCTGGCATCTAAGAAGCTTCAGTAAAAGCAGCTATTAGCATTGATGTTATTCTATAGTTCTATTTTTTATCCTTCATAGTGTTTCTTGTGTTTGACATACCTCTCCTTACTCTCTCCAAAGTTTAAGTTTTTTTTCGTTTTAGACATAAGCCAGAATTTTGTTTGGAACATATTCTCATAAAATGTAGTATTTTTATGTGTGTACAGTTCAGTACATTAAGTACATTCACACTATTGTGCAATGTCATCATCCTCCATCTCTAGTACTGAGGGTTAGGATGAGCTTGACTGTACAAGGGAATGTGGAAACTCTTGGGGTGATAGAAATGTTTTCTATCTTAACAGTGATGATGGTTACATGGCATACCATGTGTCAGTATGCATCTAACTGGACACTTAAAATAGTTCCATTTTCTTACATATAAATTGTCCTTCAAAGACAACTCATACGGAAAAAATAGAAGAAAAACTAGTAGAAGAAAAAATACCTAAAAGTGAAATGAGTAGAGCATAGTGTAAGTAGGCTCAATTCTCCTCTTTCCTAGAAAGGACTTAATATATAATGTTTTAAATTGATGTATCAATAAATAGCAACATAAAGATACTAATTCATGGTAAGGAGGTAACTACCAGAAGATCTAAAAAAAGAAGTGGCCAAGGCAGCCCTGGTGGCACAGCAGTTTAGCGCCACCTGCAGCCCGGGGTGTGATCCTGCAGACCCGGGATCGAGTCCCATGTCAGGCTTCCTGCATGGAGCCTGCTTCTCCCTCTGCCTGTGTTTGTGCCCCCCTCTCTCTGTGTCTCTCATGAATAAATAAATAAAATCTTAGAGGAAAAAAAAAAAGAAAAGTGGCCAGAGGAGGTACTCAGAAGTGTCCTGAGAAGTGGGTAAGGAGGAATGAGGATTCTCAATTTTCATTATAAACCTTACATTATAAATCTTTCTCCACTATTTTATGTTTTTAGTACTGCATGTATGACTGATAAAAATTAAAGGGAAATGAATAAATGAAATGAGAGGTCAGGAAATAGAGTTTTAAGTATAGACTACTCTTCTAAGCTTAATTAGAAAGGAAAGGAGAAATACCAGCAATAACCACATGGAATACACTCACCTCTCTGAGATTTTGTCATTTCATTTTACTCATGAGCATGAGTAAATGATATTGGAAGGAGGTGGGAGAGTGAATGTCCCTAGATATATTAATTCTGGGGCCTAGGTGGATTAAGCTTATTTACAGAGTAGAGTAGAGGCAGAGATTTACCCACAAGGTCAGAGCAAGGCTGTGCATTGCAACACAGAGTTCACATGCCCAGCAATTGGTTATTTGAGATAGGAGTTCTATAAGACATGATGAAGGCAGTTCAAGACCAGGGAATCTGCTTACATTAGGTAAAGGCAAAATAAGGTAGAAGCTCAAACTTGAGTAGGAGGTTCAGATGGCAGTCAAAGGATTGCCCCCAGTCACACCTCTGCCACAAATGACCAACATTTGTGTTGTGCTACAGTGTTTAAATATCTTCCAACACATTATTTCATGTGATCTTTATCACAACGCTATAAAGTAGATATTCTTCACAGTAGATATAGTTATTGTCCTCATTTTCGAGATAAGGACACTATGGCCCTAAGGAAATTGTGACTTGCTTATGTCACAGACTAGTAAATGGTTGGGCAGGTCCAGAGGGCAGCACTTCAGTAGTCAAGGCTATTAGAATTCCCATTGCTTCTCACTTCTACTTACAGGGAATTTCCCAAAGTTTTTGTTTTGTAACTCTAATAAACTCTTTCTTAAAAGTGGCTTTGTGTCTCATCCTGTTTGTGATTGTTCCAAAGGAACCATTCACTGCAAAGTTTTAATAATATAGGACTTAAGGGACCCTGGGTGGCACAGTCAGTTAAGCATCTGCCTTCAGCTCAGGTCATGATCCCTGGGACCAAGCCCCAAACCTGCATCCTGTTCAACGGGAAGTTGGCCTCTCCCTTTCCATCTGCTTCTCCCTCAACTCAAGTGCTCACTCTCTCTCTCTCTCAAATAAAATAAATAAAATCTTAAAGTATATATATATAGGACTTAAAGGAGAAAGAAATATTGATTAGGAGGCAATGAGCCAGAACGATGAGCCATAGTTGATTGTATCCTTTGATGCACAACAGTTTTTAATTTTTATGTAGTCCAATTTATTTATTTTTATTTTTGTTGCCTGTGCTCACTTGATCTTTTTTAAAAGAGGCTTTGAGCCATTGCAAAACGTGTATTTAACATCTAGCATGACATTCTTCCTGGCACTGGCCTGGTACCTTCAGGCCTATTTCTTACATTCCTTTGCATAACCATCATGGGAATAAAGTATTCATCAGAGCACAAAATAATTGCAGAAAGAGAGACTATAAATGCATAAGACAAACATTGAGCATCATTCAAACCAAGGGGAACAAAACGGTGCATTAGCACTTGCAGGTCAAGAATGCTTTGATGACTGACCCCTGCTCTGCAGTACTAGCCGTGAGAAAAGGATATTAACTGTATGTTTCAATACTATAATTTATTGATGATACTTATTTAAAATTATATGATTGATTAATGCATACAGGGTAAAAACTATGCTGTACAAATATTTTGTGGTAATAGTATTTGTTTGTAATGGGAGCTGCCCTACACACAGAGTGACTACATGTGCAGGTTTACCTGGAACAGTCCTGGTTTGTGTCTGTTGTCCTGGTATACTCATTACCCCCACAAAATCCAGAGGGGTTGGAAAGGTGATGGGGCATAGCCAGTTAATAAGTTAGTTTAAACCACAGTTCATCTCAGTGTCAGTGCTTTGCCCTCACAGACTTAACTCCTGTTAGTGAAATGGGACACTTGCTCTGAGAGCCTTCTCGAAGACAGGTGTAATAGGGGACTTCAGAGCTCAGGTTCGGTTCATCAGGCTGAAGGCAATGAACATAAATTCCCCGCATATTCTCCTGGTCACCCCAGCAGAAATACCTCCTTGCCTTACTCTTTGTCTTCCATTATAATGTCCATAAAATGCCCTCTTAACAAAGGAAAATAATTGCAGAGTGGAGGGGGTGATGGAGAGGGTTGGGATGGTGAAATAAATGAAATCTGAGTTAGAGAAATTAGGCTTTCTAAATCTAATTGCCCAGATTTAGGCTGCAGGGGGCTGTTTTTGATTTGCTGCTGCTCCTATCAATAAGTTAGAATTCTATAATCTTTTCTTTGTATCCTGTGCAGTAGAGATCCCTCAGTGAGCCATGTGGTATAGGTCTGAGGGGCAGGAGTGGTTCATGCACCTTCGTCCGCGTCTAATTTATTGCCAGGAAAAGGCTTGGATAATGGCTAGAAAATATGCTTCAAGATTCAAAGCTAAAGCACCATATAATAGGGTTCACATATCAAAACTTCACCATTGTACTTTTTTCTGCATTCTCTTTGTGAGAATGTTGCTTTTAAGTTTTGGGTTTCTAATTATTCCTGTATGAATGTATATAAGAAACGCTGACATGTTTCTTGTCATGTTGCAGATGTTATTAAACCTATTGACAGAGTTTCCTTAATGGAATCCATAGTTATTTGCATTTTGCTCCTGTAGTGGTTTCCCTTTGTGACAAATTTTATTTCTAAACTCATTTTTATTAGTAATATAGTTAATAACGTTAGCCGTAACATGCTTATTATACACAGGAGTAGAACGTTGTCCTTCTGTCCTTACTACTTGATTGCTTTATGAATACAGAAATGGTGAGAATGTGTCCCAGAATTCCAGAGAGGAGTGGGAGCTCACCAAACCCCATGAATATAGTCTGCAAGTATCTATAATGGTCATAATGTCATCATGGTGATTGCAGTGGGTTTTCAAAATGGGTTTGAGAGATTCCTAAGCTATTAGTTTCAGGTTAACAAATAAGTAATAGTTTCTTAAAAATGAAGATTATATATATTATTAGGTTATGAGACTATTTCTGTTTATGGGTATAGTCCAATATGTTTAGAAATATATCTTCAGAGCAGATTTTACCAGAACTAAATTGAGACTCTTAAAGGAATATACTCCAGTCTGTATAATCAACTGAGCCTGCAGCTATCAGCTCAGTGGTTTTCTGGAGAACCTTATGTCATCAGATGTTCTTATAACAGCCATGTGAAAAATATCCTGTCCAGGTCATAAAACTGAGTTGGGCTGACAGAGCTACAATTTAGTATTTTCTCCTTTTGATCTTTTATACTGTATCTTCATTCATAGCAGGTTGTAAACTTTACAGAGTACTGCCTTTTATATTGCATCCTGAAAGAAGTGCATTTTTTAAACTAGTGCAGTTCTTAAACTGCATTTCCTTTGAGGTAATCTTCATAACTATAAAATTTATGTTCTAAGTGTATTTGGTATGAGGTGAATAGAGTCAGCATCATCAGTTTGATTGGTTTGATTTGATAGTAGTGTTCATTTGGACTCTGTTCCCATATGCATTATTGTCATACCTTATTAAAATACAAATGACAACTAAAGTATCATTTCTCTCTGAATATAATGATAACTTCTCATTATGTTCAATACTATTTTAATGTCCTCCTAAATGTAATTAATAAGTACCATAAAATATCTTTACTCTTACAGTGAATACTAAGCTTTATTAAAATCAATGATTCTCAAACTTTTTCTTCTCCAGTGCATCCAACAGATATGGCCTGTTTCTACTGCCCATTACCCTGATTTAAAAGTGTAGTCAACCTTTTATCACCCCTTGTACAGGCAGGCCTTCTTTGTGCCTCTATATGCCTCTCCACACAGAGACCCTGTCCCTCTACCATCACATGTACACCTTGAGAATTCCTAATTTAAGTGATGTCAAAATAGTTAAGGGAGAGAGTGGGAACAGCTAAACTCATTTCAAGTTGAAATTAGATGCTCTTTTAACTCTGCTATGCTGAGATGATACCAAGACTTGATTGATGGAAGAGATCACAAGCTGAATGCCCTATGGCTCCACTGCTTAAAGATGATGAGCTTCACAAGTATTTCCTGCCAATAATGTTAGCTTAAATGAGCCCAAAGTTTGTGATTTCAGGCCACTGTAAGGAGATAAGTGATCTGTGAAATACCTTTTATAGACTTCCACTAAATTTGAAGATAGCCACCTACCTACTGATTTTATGAAACTTATCTTTTTTAAAAAAAAGGTTTTATTTATTTGAGAGCAAGTAAGAGAAAGAGTGTGCGCAGACAGGCACAAGGAGGGAGAAGCAGACTCCCCGTTGAGTAGGAAGCCTGACTCGGGCTTGATCCCGGGACTCTGGGATCATGACCCAAGCTGAAGACAGACTCTCAACCAACTGAGCCACTCAGGTGCCCTTCATGAAGCTTATCTTGTTAAGAAATCAAGTTATATTTAATATTTATTATTTATATTAAAGTAGTTTAAAATGTTAAGGGTGTTTTAAATAATTTGGAGTATTAAAAGTGATAAAAGCTCTAAAAGAGCAAAATCTGGGAGACAGTAGCTTTGACTTGGAGATTAATGAAGAAATGTATCCTTTTTCCTTTGTTTAGATTTCTTGACTATAAAACTTCTACTTCCTTGAATTTAAATTTGGGTAACGTGTGTATCTGTGGTTGGTAGTTTTGTTAAAGTACTTCTAACTGTGTCAACTTCTAACTGTACTTCCTGTGTCAAAGCACAGGATAGCGTGCTCTAAAACATCAGAATACTTAACCTGGGGACAATACTTTTATTGATGACAAAGACACAGGCACTGCCAATACCAGACATTTTTATAACATTACAGTTGTTGGAGATTTCTCAAAATATTATTTATGTTCATCACTACTTCTATAACAAATTTGTTTTTTTAACATTTGATATGTATTTCAAAATCTTTGATGGGATGCCTGGCTGGCTTAGTCGGAAGAGCATGGGACTCCTGGTCTCAGGATAGTGCATTCAAGCCCCCTGTTGGGTGTAGAGATTACTAAAATAATAAATAAATAAACTTTTAAGAAAATCATTGATAGCTTTTGTAATTCTATATATTTTATGGTATATTTAGAAACATTATTTAGAGGGATTTTATGTTCTTTCCCATATGTGTTCTCTCTGCTTGTAACATGTTTCCTTTTCTCCTTCTGTAGCATTAGCCACTATGTGATTGTCATGTCCATGACCATCGTTCTAATGTTGCTCAATGGCCTGGCACACCTACTCACGACAAAGAAACTTGAACTCTATGGCAAACCCAAAAGCCACCTCATATGATGCTGCTGAAGCCATCATTCAACATCTGGATCCTGTTTCTCATTTGCCTTTTAAACTAAACTCTTATCAAGGATTCAGTAAGAAAATGGATATTGATATACAGCCATATTCTGCTCCTAAAAAAGAAAATTGTATGTGGAATTCTGAATTTACAGGTTGTCTGGAATAAAGGAGCCTCCATTTTCTTTAGGTTTTGTACATGTGAAATAGTGGTTGTATCTGTCGAAAAGCTTAGTAAACTTTCTCCACTTGCATTTTCTTCCTTTAGCTGGCAGCTCTTCTCACTGATGTTTCAGAGCACCTGTTAACTGTGCAATTCCCCACACATGCAAAGGAGGATGTGCTCCCTTGGGGGCGGACCGATCACATCCAAAATCCGTGATGGAGAAACTTGAAGGAAATCACCAGGTGGCACCATAAATATTTATCAACTCTCAGCACTGGTTTTACAAGTAGTTCTAACTACTAAATGCTAACACTAGGAAAATGGTCAGGATCTGTTACTTCCTGAAGCTTTAGTGGAAACAGTGCTGGCCAGTGTTTGCCATTCTCCTTCAGAGTGCACCCATACCATCGTCTTAGTGCTGTCTCCAGGGTGTCCATCATATACCAGCAGATGCATGTTGTCCCTTCACTCCTTTTTTTTTTTTAATTTTTTTTTTCCATTTCTGGATTCCCATTGGAATTTCTAGAGACAGAAAGGTAGAAAATGCTTGGTATTTGTGTTTCATTCAAGGGAAGAATTTTTAAAGGATAATTTTTTAATTGTAGACTCAGTATCTGTTACCCCCATACCTTTTATCACATGTTTTGACAGAATTCTTTAAGTCACTGGTTAAACTTGCAACATCACAAAAATCAGTGTTAACATTTCCTGTCTTCTAGTTGTAAGATCCTATCCCAGAGGCCTAGAGTCTTCTCATTTAATTTAAATTTCTGTTTGTAAACTAATTCTAATGGACAAAATATTTTGAGAGTAATTTTTATTTGGGTTTTTCATAAAGTAACCTTTATTTTTTTTTAAAGTAACCTTTATGTATTACTGTAGAGTTGGCCTTTTGCCTGTGGTATGCCAGTAGATTTTGGCTGATGCTAAGCTTTGCTGCTCTAAGTCTCATTCTTAAAAAATAATTGCTTTTGAATTCAATTATAACATTACTAACATTAATAACAAAAAAGTCCTCTGCAAATTACCGTGTTTTTCAAATTGACAGGTGAGTGAACAAACACAATTTAGAAGATTCAAAAATCAGTTTGGCAAAATGTGCTTTTGTAATTTCTGTTCATAATGAAGTGTGGTTATAATTTGTGTGTGATAGTACTTCATGGTATACCAATGACAGCACCATACTCCAAGAGAAGAGATCAATGTCAGTATAATACCACGTGTCAGTCTGTAATACAAAATCTCAGTCAACAACTAAGAAGCTGCCATAGCAGGTGATGACACTGGCAGATATAAAACCTATGAACTTTCACATTGTCTTAGAGGATTTGTAATCCGTTTTTTCATGAGTCAGAGAAAACTTACTTTATAAACACCATTTTAACTCCTTTTATGTCCAGTTTTACTTTCTATCTTTTCCCAAATTTTCACACAGAGGAATTAATGAATATTTTATTACAGCATTGTAAAAGGTGCTCAGTGCTTTATCTTTATTTTGTTCTTTGAAGCACATCTTTTCCTAATACTGTTTTGAATCAGTGTGCCTACAAAACAAGAATATGTACCTGCAGCCACAGGCTGGGATTGCTGCACTGTTTACTGGACCCCTCAGGCTTCCTTGAGAACATTTTGCTAGACAGGCCTTTTCTGTTCTGCAGCTTGTCAAATATCTTAAAAGTGTTTTAAAATATTTTTATATTAATAGAAAAAATAAATATGATTTAAATGTATTTCTGTTTAAAGCATTTATTTTTTCATTCTAACTATTAATACTAGATCTCCGAATCAAAGGTTATTTGCTGATTAACGTTTGCTTAAATTAGTAATTGCTATAAGAATTAACAGGTGCCAATGCACACTACATCTGAAACTAAGTATGTACTCTGTGTTGGCTAATTGAATTTAAATTTTAAAAAAATGTTTTTAAAGAATTAAAGAGTGCATATCGTATTGAGAAAATACTGAACAAAAAAGCCATAGACCATGAATAAATCTTGGTGGATAGTCTTAAAGACTTCAGAAACTAATTGCAGTCTATACATCCATGATTGGCCAATGTTTTAGTTTTCTGTATTATTATATGTAGAACACAGAATGCTTTTTATTTTTTTATTTTTTATTTTTTTACGGAAATGTTATAAATGGTAAAATATTTTCATAGTAATTCCACAAAATGACCTAACAGTGATAGAGCTGGACTACATACCTAGATACCTATTCATCACTCATGATATTGTTTCTCATAAAAAACTCATTTCAGGGATCCCTGGGTGGCGCAGCGGTTTAGCGCCTGCCTTTGGCCCAGGGTGCGGTCCTGGAGACCCGGGATCGAATCCCACGTCGGGCTCCCGGTGCGTGGAGCATGCTTCTCCCTCTGCCTGTGTCTCTGTCTCTGTCTCTCTCTCTCTCTCTCTCTCTCTGTGACTATCATAAATAAATAAGAATTTAAAAAAAATAAAATGGTCAATTATCATTAAAAAAAAAACTCATTGCAAATTTCACCCAACTCCGATATTAGGAGCATATATGTCCTCCCATCTCCAAGCCCTACTTTTATACACAAATTAGGGACTCCTTTGCTCCTCCACCTTTGGTACATACCTCTGCCATCAAAAATATGATTTCTGATGCAGCAGGCCCATGGGGAAGGAGAGGGGTTCTGCTGGGGACTCTCTCCAGAGACAGGCAGTAGCTCTGCAGGGTTCCAGCTCTCCTGGGGAGAACCTGGTGAGTTCCTCTATATACCCTAGATGTTGTCTTGTCAAAGAGTCTGAAGAGAGTGAACTAAAACAACTCAGACATTTGCAGTGGACCCCCTTTCTGGCAGTTCCAAGGACTCCTTTAAGAGGCCAGAGAGGACTTGTAATATCTCACCTCCTCAGAGATATTCTTTATCTCTTTATGTTTTGCTCATCTTCTGTAAATGATTTGAAGTGGGATTGTTATGGTATGTGTTTTCAGTACTGTAGTAATATCTTGTAGCATTTTTGCATCAACATGGTATGTAAAAAAGGTATATGAGATATACCATTCTACACTTAATACTCATTCTATGGGCAGCCCGGGTGGCTCAGCGGTTTAGTGCCGCCTTCACCCCAGGGCCTGATCCTGGAGACCCAGGATTGAGTCCCATGTCAGGCTCCCTGCATGGAGCCTGCTTCTCCCTCTGCCTGTGTCTCTGCCTCTCTCTCTCTCTCTCTCTCTCTCTCTCTCCCTCTCTCTGTCATGAATAAATAAATAAAATATCTTTAAAAAACTCATTCTATAACAAGGGCATTTGAGAAGTAATGTGTCACTTATTAACTTCCTTAGAGACATAAACATCACAATTTTTCAACTCATCACCCTTAGAATTTCAGTATTTATTTGCCACATAGCATTTCTCAAAGTATGTTCCTTAGAAAGTAAGTTCCTTAGGATACAAATAGATCTCATAATAAAAAAGGTTCCCGGGCAGCGTGGGTGGCTCAGGGTTTAGCACTGCCTTTAGCCCAGGGTGTGATCCTGGAGACCCAGGATCAAGTCCCACATCCGGCTCCTTGCATGGAGCCTGCTTCTCCCTCTGCCTGTGTCTCTGCCTCTTTCTCTCTGTGTGTCTCTCATGAATAAATAAAATCTTTTTAAAAAATAAATAAATAAAAAGGGTTCTCTGCCCAAATATATTTAAGAAGCACTTAGTCCAATAAAGTTAAATAGGTGTATTTATTTTAGTACTTAGGGAATTTAACTTGGTCTGTGCATTGTGAAGGGAGAAAGATAGCAGCATGCCAGCAATTTCCATTTGCTTGGCTGCAGACCATCCTTCAAGTATCCTTTCCAGCTGGTAAACATGCTTTAGAAATGTTGCCATAGGGGCGCCTGGGTGGCTCAGTCAGTTAGGCGTGTACCTGTGGCTCAGGTCATGGTTCCAGGGTCCCAGGATCAAGCCCTGCATCAGGCACCCTGCTCAGCACAGTCAGCTTTTCCCTGTCCCTCTGACCCTTCCCCCCCTGCTCCTGCTCCTGTTCCTGCTCTTGCTCACTTTCTTGCTTGCATTCTCTCTTCTCTCTCAAATAAATAAATTAAAAATCTTAAAAAAAAGAAAAGGTAAAAAATGCTGCCATATACTTTCACACTTAAAACCTCAATTTGTCACACTGGTGACAGTGTGCTTTTAAAAAGGGTGTTATATGCTTAATTGAATCTGTTTTCCTGAGAAAATTGTAACCCTTAATGTGGGAAAACTTTAAAATTTTATTTGCCTCTATAAATTGTGCCTATGATCAATTAGTCTTTCATGTGGGACCCTTCAGTACAGCTTCCAGTTTGTCACATATCATCAGATAGCCCTGATAGAATTTGGACTAAGTCTTTATACCTTGTATCTTACAGCCTTTACCAGAAAAATACATTTACAGCAAACATTGGCTTGTTTTCTTGTGACTTGCTACTATAGAAGGTGATTACTAATGTTTTTATGCCTGCCTTGGTTTTTCTGTTTTACTTACCTCTCTCCTGTGCTGTTTTCTCCCTTCTCATGTCAGTCCTCTCTCTTAGCCATGTTAGAACCCAGTGTGTATACAAATAATGGATTTTCTTCATGAATTAGTTCCCATCAGTTCTTGTGTACCGTGTAGACACGTTGTGAGTATATAGTGCTCAGTTGTGCCAGTGTCTGCTTGGCATTCTCTCCTCTGGAGTAACTGTGCCTCCACTGCTGTGTGTCTCTGGCAGGAGCCAAGTGGGTTTTTATGACTCTTCCCTCACCACAGTTGACTAGTTTAGAGGTGCTGGCCCAATCGGAGTTCTTTGCAAGGTTTTCAAACTAGAAAGGAGAGAAAATTTCTAAGATTCAGAACTGAGGAGCTGTTGATAGCTAGATTGGATTGAGATACTCTAGATACCTTCTAATAGATAACCTTCCATCACCTGCTTACTTATCCAGTAAAAGATTATTTTTACTATTATTTCTAAAGACATAGTAGATAATGACAAATCCAAAGCTTCACTTAAAATGTTTATTTTTGTATATTCTTTTTTACCTTATGCTTTCTAAATTGGTAATCAGTTGGGGGATCCCTGGGTGGCGCAGCGGTTTGGCGCCTGCCTTTGGCCCAGGGCGCGATCTGGAGACTCCGGATCGAATCCCACATCAGGCTCCCGGTGCATGGAGCCTGCTTCTCCCTCTGCCTGTGTCTCTGCCTCTCTCTCTCTCTCTCTCTCTCTCTCTCTCTCTCTCTCTCTCTCTGTGTGACTATCATAAAATAAATAAAAATTAAAAAAAAAATTTAAAAAAAAAAGATAAATAAATAAATTGGTAATCAGTTGGGACAGAATGATTCAGTGATGTTCTTTGCAGGTCTCTTTGGCTTTGTCCTCTGCTTCCCAGCTTTTCTTGGTTCCAACAATTTTGTAACCCTTCCCGTTCATTTCCAAAAAAAATTTTGTCTGCATCTCTGTTACTTGCAACCAAGAACTTTAATTGGTATGCTTGCTTTAAATGTGTTTGCAAATGTATCTCTTCAATGCTTAGTGCAATTTCTAATTATGACTCTTAAAAATTGTGATAAAACTTACAAGGTCTTTACCATGTGCCAGACACTATTTAAATGCTTTACAAATACTAAACTATTTAATCCTCATAACAACCCTGTGAAGTAGATATCATTATACCATTTTACAGATGGGAAAACTGAAACACAGGGTGATTTATAAATAATTTGCTCAAGATCCCACAACTAGTGTGAGACTGGCTGGCTGGCAGGCTTGCTTTGCTTTTACATTTTAAACAGTTTCTGCCAAAACATCATGTCCTGGAACCTGCATAAAACTGTTTGTATATTTTTGCTTCTGAAGTCACACTGTATCTAAGCAGGTGATATGAAAACTAGACCCTTCCGTCGTATGTGTGTAATCAAGTGTAAACAGTATAATTAGGAAAACATACTGTTGAAGTTGCCTACATGTGTGCAATTGGCACAGGGCACACTTGCACCAGATTCTTAACATTTGAAGCATATGCCAGCTGTCTTCCAAATGGTATATAAAGCAAAAGGACCAAGTTTCCTCACTTTTTTTTAAATTAGCATTAAAAGAAGGAAGGAAATATTTGCTATTTTCAAGCACTTGAAGTTTTATAAAGACCTGAAAGTCCAGAGCATGCTTAGTGTAGTGGGTCGAATTATGGACCCCTAAAAGAGATGTCCACTTCCTAACCCCTTGGACCTGTCAATGTGATCTTCCTTAGGAAAAGGGTCATTGTAGATATAATTAAGGATTTTGAGATGAAATCATCATGGCTCATCCAGGGAGGCCGTAAATCCAAAAGCAAAGTGTCCTTGTAAAGGAAAAGATGACAAGAGGAAACGCCACATGAAGATAGTGGTGTGGCCACCAGGCAGGGAAGCCACCAGAAGCCGGGAGAGGCAAGGAAGGAACTTTATTTACTTCACGGGGTGGGTGGGGACGGGATGGCCCTGCCAGCAGCTTCATTTACAACTTCTGGCCTCCAGAACTATGAGAGAATTAATTTTCATTGTCTTGGGCCACCCAGTTGGTGATAATTTATTATGGCAGCCCTAAGAAACTAATACATTTGGGGAGGTTAGCTTTACAGAATCAGACTGAATCACAGCATTTGCATGGCTAACTCATAAAATTACTGGATCACAAGTTGGAGAACCATAGTTCGCCCTAAAATGTGGATATAAAGATATCAGCACATAAACCTAGAGGTAGAATTAATTACTCT